GATATTATTAAAAAAAAAACTGCATGTGGCACTAGCTGCACAGCCTTACTCCAACTAAGCGTATTGTAAAGAATAATATACGACTCCTTTAAAGCTTCCACTGGTTAAGAAAAGATGGGACATCTTCATAACCTGTCAGCAAAACATGGGACCTCTTTTGACACAAGAGTTTTCACTGAAAGTATTCTAGATATTATTCAAAAAACTATAGCACTAGCTGCACCGCCTTACTCTAACTTAGCGTGATGTAAAGGATAATATAAGACTCCTTTTAGTCTTCCACTGGTTAAGAAAAGATGGGACATCTTCGTAACCTGTCAGCAAAAGATGGGACATCTTTCTGACACAAGATATTCACTAAACGTATTCTAGACATTATTTAAAAAACTATAGCACTGGCTGCACCGCCTTACTTTAACTTAGCGTGATTTAAAGAATAGTATATAACTGCTTTTAAACTTCCACTGATTAAGAAAAGATGAGACATCTTCATAACCTGTCAGCAAGAGATGGGACATCTTTCTGACACAAGAGATTTCACTAAAAGAATTTTAGATATTATTAAAAAAAACTGTCGCACTAGCTGTACTGCCTTACTCTAACTTAGTGTATTGTAAAGAATAATATATAAGATTCCTTTTAAGCTTCCACTGGTTAAGAAAAGATGGGACATTTTCATAACCTGTCAGCAAAAGATGGGATATCTTTCTGACTCAAGAGTTTTCACTAAAAGTAATGTAGATACTATTCCAAAACGGCTAGCGCTATCGCTGCATGCGCCGCTTTAGTCTATAACTTAGCGTGATGTAAAGTATATTGTTATATAGCTAGCGTGAACACCAAACGTGATTGGCTGATTTGTGGTCACGTGACTTCAGATAAATGCAATGTTTCCCGCCGGGCAACAAGTGAAAAATAGTTGCCCGCCCCGACCGGCCACGTACATAAATAAACAAAATGGCGGCACAACTACGAAAATTAGAAACTACGATTTTCCAAGTTTGTGTTCAAATAAAGAATGTAAAAGGGAAGAAAGATACAGAATTAATCCCTCGAATCTCAATGTTTCCCTCGACTTCGTCTCGGGGAAACATTGAGACTCTCGGGAAAACAAAACTAACTATTTCCCTCGGGAGCAGACATTAAGTGTATAATATAGGACGTTTTTAAGCTTCCACTGCATGGTTAAGTGGAAGATAATTTAATTTATAGGCGTGCGACCCGTCTTGTAGGCGAACGTCAATAAGTATATTCAGCGTTAAATCATACGAATAGAGTGCTCGATACGAAAGAAGACAAACTTGAGTTACTTCGTTAAAAACATTTATTCACGACAAATTTGTTTGGTATGGTAAACTGAGCTTGCTACAATCATCAGGTGAATGATGATATCGCGTATTTACATGATGTTATAACCTATAGGTAACTTGAGCTATTATACAAATGTTTGACGTCATTAGGAAAGCGTAAATATATGTCTGTAACCTGAGCTATTGGCTGCAGAGCAGGAATTTTCTCCCGTGCCTACATGCGGATATTAGTTCGTTTCTCGAGTTCAAAGATCTTAATTTGGGATAGTAAATTATAATAAACTTTTCGTGCAGGCGTAATTTACAACGTTTTGTTTCGTTTCTGTTCTGTTCTGTTCTGTTCTGCTCTGCTCAGCTCTGTTCTGTTCTGTTCTGCTCTGCTCAGCTCTGTTCTGTTCTGTTTCGTTTTGTTTTGTTTTGTTTTGTTTGAGTACGCCTTACATTTCTTTAAAATTTTCCTGCGGATAGAGTATTTTATGCAAATATATTTACTCAGTTCGGTTGAATGTTTATGTTCCGTGTTCCTGAACAAGCTTGTGTCGTTGTAGTATCTCACTTTAAATGGGCCTGCAGTGTGTCCAACGAAGGTTTCTTTCTGCTGGTTGTCTTCTCTCGTTACTGTGGCCTGGTACACAACGCTTTCGGTTAAACCTTTGCCAGAGAGGGGGTAGTACTCTTCCTGGCGGCATTTGCACCTCCTATCTGGATTTTTAGTAGCCTTGGGCTGCTTGCAATCGAGTACGGTTCTGTTGTGCGCCGTGATGATATTGTGCACGTTGGGCATACAGCTGTAGCTTAACTTAAGGTTGTTCCAATTGAATAGTTTATGTAGAGGACGGTTGGGTGGGAAGCATTCATCAATAGCTTGCAGGAATATGTGAACAATATCGGTGGCAACGTTGGCGCTGTAGGGCGGATTAAACTATCACATTTCTGTTTCTATTACGTTTAGGCTTTGGTGGCTGGGCATTGTAATTCAGGACGTAGTTAAAACCGCTCTTTCGCAGGGCTTCCTGATATGGAGGCGACGCCGACTCAAAGGATTGCTTATCAGAGGATATGTGCGATAGCCTCTTGTTGATAGCGTCTGGTATGCTGCGTAGTGTTGGTAGCGCGTGGTTGCTGTTGTGGTTGATATATAGTGGTGTATTGCCGGGTTTCATATATGGCTTGTAAGATGACGATCTGAGATCAAGTGTAACGTCTACGCATTTTTTGTTGGCCTCGATGGTTATTTTCAAGTAATTGTCACTGAAAACTTTGCAAATACTCTTCTTAATGATCTCGATTTCGCGCGGTCTTTTGTCAAGGACTGCGAGATCGTCATCTCTGTACAGACCGATTTCATTGTCGTACGCTGCCATTATAGTTGTGACAGAAGATAAGATCCCTCTAACTCGCATGTCTCAGCCCGGTCAAAGCTATACCCGTAGTTACATCGAAAATTGAATCGGCTGATATTTTATTTCGCTAAGTTGTACTTCTGTTGAAGAGCAGCGATTGCTTTGCTTTCATGATAATGGATTTCTCCTTTTCGGTTATTTCGTCGTATTGTGAGGCGCATGCTAGGGATTCTTTCAAGACCTCTTCAGATATAGATGGATGGAAATTTATTATATCGAAGCTGATAAATGAGCGGGTTGATTTACTAGGCATGTTATTAAACCGCTTGATCAGTGCGTCAGTATTTTATACTGGTAGATTTGCCATTTTTGGAATTGATCCTTTGAAGGACTTGTTTGCTGTCAAATCCGATTTCAGATTTCGATGGATTTATAAGTCTGCAGTTGTTGGAAAACTTTTGTTTATGATCTTTCAGGTTGATCAATGAGTGATTTTTTGTTAGTGAAGCAACACGGTTGTCGGTACGAAGGCTTTTTGCAATTTTTTCATCAGATTATTCTATCCTTGGTTTTTGTCAGGGCATTCTTGTAGGTTTTTGTTATTGCAATATCAAGTAGCTAATCACATGTTGGGTCGTCCAAACGGTAGGAATTTGTGGTTTTATCGGCAACAACAGGTAGATTCATTCTCGTCTGCCCTAATTTTTGATAAGTCCTGTGGTAGTCCTGGAATTCGTTGTGGTGGTTTCCAAATTGGACGTTTTGGATAAGTGAAAGCATCTTGGCTTCAAATGCTTCTAGCTCTTTAGTTGGCGGCGGGCATTTAGTTGTATTAAACTTGAATGTTTCTCTCGTAGGCTCTGATTGTATATCTACACCGGGCAGGCTTGAAAAATATGCCTGGCTACGATGGGAATCGAACCTACGACCTTTGGAATACTAGCCAGAAGGGCAACCTGGTGTGGATATACACTCAGAGTAACATCACACAAGCATGAGAATCAACTTGTTGCTGCCGATAAAACCACACATTTCTACTCTTTGGACGAGAACACATATGACAAGCTACTTGATACTGCAATAAAAAAACCTTACAAGCTCGTCCCGACAGAAACCACGGACAGAATAATATCTGATTAAAAGAAAATTGCAAAAAGTCTTGGCATCGACAACCGTGTTGACTCACTAGCAAAAAGGGCTCATTTTTCACCCTGAAAGATCATAAACCAAATTTTTCCAACAACCCTACCTGCAGACTTATAATTCCATCGAAATCTGAAATTCAAATTGTCAGCAAGCAAGTCCTTCAAATTATCAATTCCAATTCCAGTATAAACCAGTGGAAAAATACTGACGCACTGCATGATCAAGTAGTTTAACAACATGCCAAGTAAATCAACCCGCTCATTTATCAGCTTCGATATAGCAGATTTCTATCCATCTATATCTGAAGAGTCCCTAGCATTCGCCTCACAATAAGGCGAAATAAACGAAAATGAGAAAGTCATTATCATGAAAGCAAAGCAATCGCTGCTCTTCAACAGAAGTACAACTTGGGGAAAGAAAACATTAGTCGATTCACTTTTCGATGTAACCATGGGTAGCTTTGACGGGGCTGAGACATGCGAGTTAGTGGGATCTTATCTTCTGTCACAACTAACGGCTGAGTACGGCAATGATATCGGTCTGTACAGAGATGACGGTCTCGCAGCCTTTGACAAAACACAGCGCAAAATCGAGATCATTAAGAAAATCATTTGCAAACTTTTCAGTGACAATAACTTGAAAATAACCATCGAAGCCAACAAAAAATGAGGGCCCCCTATACTTTTTGCGTAAAGCGTGAAGGCTTGTTTTACTTAGGTGTGAAACGTGATCAGGCCCCCTATACTTCTTGCGTGAAGCGTGAAGGGCTTATTTTACTTAGCCGTGAAACGTGATCGATGATTTTCTTAATCCGTGACTCGTGAAAAGGCAAAATATTTTTAGTTGAAAGCACATTGTGAAGAGGTATAGGGGGCCCTCAAAAATGCGTTGACTACCTAGACATTACACTTGATCTCAGATCGTCATCTTACAAGCCATATATGAAATCCGGAAAGACACCGCTATATATCAACCACAACAGCCACCACCCGTCACCAATACTAAGCTGCATACCAGACGCTATCAACAAGAAGCTATCAAACATATTCTCTGATAAGCAATCCTTCGAGTAGACTTCGCCTCCATATCAGGAAGCCCTGCGAAAGAGCGGTTTTAACTACGTCCTCAATTACAATTCCCAGCCACCAAAGCCTAAACGTAATAGAAACAGAAATGTGACATGGTTTAATCCTCCCTACAGCGCCAACGTTGCCACCGACATTGGTCACAAATTCCTGCTGCAGGCTATTGATGACCAAATTCCTGCAGGCGACTGTGACCAAATTTTCATTGCTGTTTTTCCCATGATTGCAAAGAATGCGTATAAAGAAGCTGTCACGCAAAATTGTAGCGTGATATCTCATATTTAGCCTGATATATACGACGATGTAGTTCGAGTTTTGGATCCGCCATATTGGAAAGTTCAAGCGTTCGGAGTCTGTGACGTCATAGTCTCGACACATGCTGGGCGCGCAAGATAAAAATGCATACGCGACTATATAGTAAAACTCTTTCATGCCTTCATCTCGTTGTGTTGTAAAAGATTGCAGCAATACTTCTGAAAAAAAACGCGGGTAGATCATTGCATAGGAACCCAGATGACGAATCTTCATACGAGCCCAAATGATGAATATCGGTTACATTTGTGTAAACTAAGCAGGCTAATTTTTTTCCAAGCTCGCGGGAAATTCGATTCATAATTTGTTGGAGTCCTTCGGACCACTTTTCAACAGATTGTTTTGAGCGTTTATTTCATTTGGATCTTTGGAACGACGACTCATACCAGGTTCTGTGCCTACTATTTGGAGGAAAACGCCAGCGCAAGTAACAACAAGAGACAGGCGTTAGGTTTAGTCAAATACTAGAAATACATGCATGCAGTAACCCCTCGCTAATATTTTCCAAACATTAAATTAACATGAAGTATTCAGAAATGGCCCAATGAATGCAGGCTCGCGCTCAAGTTTTGCCATGACAACACCATATTCTTAAATTTTTATTTTTTTCATATCTTTTGGACAAAACTGCAAAATAGTTGAAAGATTCGTACTTCTAACTATACAACAATAAATTTCAAAAATATATACTGTAGGTATATTATTTTGCATTTTGTGAGCTTTGATTTAATGTAAAATTTAACTTGAAAGGCTTCGTAAATGCTTGGAAATGTTCATTCGATCAACTATAGTTCATTTGCCGATAAACTAATAATAAAACATAATAAGTTACAAATAAAACAAATTGTTAGGTAATTCCAGTTCAGTCTTCAAATCAATTTGTCCCTTTTACATTTTAATTTTTTTTTTCTCAAATAAAACGGTAATTGATGAAACTTAGAGCTTCGTTGCAAAGGAAAACAGTTCATGTTTTTAGGCAAAAAGCTTAAAGCAACAAAATTCGTAAACATACCAAACATTGAATATTCAAAGCAAACTTGCCGTATATTTCACGATTTATATTTCCCATAGTAAATCAATTTTTTTCTTTTCTTCAAACAAAATTGCTTCAAGCTTATTGTGTATGAAACGATTTTCCAAATATACATCTTTTCAAAATTGAAATCTTGCTCATCCCACTCCTACAAGCAATCAGCCATATTTTTGAGATCAGTGAGGATGACCACCCACATCGTTGGTGACCGACGCCCGCGCTCATTGACGAACTTTGGGCTTGGCTAATGCTTTCGTTTCCCCGGGTGTAAATAGCCGGGAGGAATTAGTACCCTCGACCCGGGCTTACGCCCGGAAAGGGGTCCGCGCCGTTGGCTCGGCGATGAATATATTTTAGCTACATACATATTTACATAACTCTGATAAGTCCAGATCGAATTATAAATTCACGTGACAAGTGTTGTTCTCATATTATTGAAAAAAAGTTTTAAATTTTAAACGAGTTGAGCGAAACTGCTAACAAGACAACTTCCGTCGCAGGAAGTTTCCACCTACTGGGAAAGACTCTGCAATCGGCTAGCCGGTCATGTGACTTATTATGCCGAGACAAATTATGCCGAGACGGCTCGTCGAAGAAATCACACGTCGTCGCAAACGTTACAAGAAAATATATTTCTACACAGGCACCGACCGATCATGGCTGTTATTTAGCTGCTGATGTCTATCCTAAAGATTTATTTAATACTGATATGTGTAACGAAATAGAGAGATCCTGTGATTTCTGAAATATCGCAAACTATCTTGCTTGTATACAATTATGCTACTGGGACTGTTATTAAAAGCAATGTGAAATTTCCAAATTGCAACATTGCCATTCACTTTGGTGAAACTTGATGATCAAGAAATATGTCGAAGTATATCTCCCTGTTATCAAACCTACGGTAAAATAGTCCGACAATAGCCTACTCAAAGATAAGTCAAAGACTCTTCTATGCGTGCATGTTAACGCCAATACTGTATGTGATTGCGTATTTGTAATTTATGTTTGACATTAGAGAATGTAGTCCGCATGATAAATTTGATAAATAGCTTTAATGACTTTAATTGTGACATTAGCTTTACTGTAATCTATTGATCGATGTTCTTACAGAAATACGTACGTGAGAAATTTTTACCTTGTGAAATATAATACTGAATCAAACTCTAAGACTTTTAAATTAATAAGTGTTATACCTGTGATGAGTATGACTGCATGTGCATATCTGACTGAGTGAGTGATATCAGTGTTTATGCGCCGTAGTTTATGGAATTATCTATGACTATGTTCGTGTTAGAAAATATGTACTGTATATCAGAAAAATACTGTTATAAGTCATCGACAGTTTTAAAGTGAGCATTCAGTCTCTGTTTGGCACTGTGCACATTGTTTACATTGTGATTTATGACAAAAAGTTACGTCAAAATTTCATCCGAACCTGCAATAAACAAGACGCGTATTTTTAGTAAATCGGCACAAAGTTTATCAATAAACGTTTGCAAACAACAAATCTAATGGCATATTTTAGAAACAGATAAAAGTGAAAAATGAATATACAATCGTTGACCACTGACCGGTTGCGATATGAAAATATGTTCCAGAGAGAATACCCAACTTCAAACTTTAAAGTACACGATTTTATTTGTTTCTGTTGATAAAACCTACAGTGTTTTTGTAATTTCAAAGCAAACAGAGGTATAAAATGGCAGTTAGCGGGCGCTAAGAACCATTATGTATCGTAAAATCCCACTCCTGATATTTGAAATTTAACGTTTTCTGTGGAAGCATGTAATTTGATACTTTGCCACTTCCCCATGGGCAATTAATTTTTGTAGGGTCACGTGCCCAGGCGATACCAGGGTCTTTCCCAAAAAAGACCATGGGTACCAGGATGCAAACAAGACTGATACAACGAAGGTGAATCATCGAGCTGGTTTTTTTTCATCCCCGTGTTAAGCTACTGTCTGAGATGAAGCTGTTTGGGGGTTTGCTGTCGAAAATGTGAAATTTTGCCAAACTCTAGCGATCATGTTGACATGAAATTGACATATTTCAATCAATTAACCGAAAGTTTTTTTCCCCCCAAAATGTAGAAATTCTGCAATTCTGCGCTGGGGACTGGGCAAGAATAAAGAAGCATTTCTGGCAAGTTTAATTTTTGTACTGTCATTACTTACTAGAGCCGAAAAGTCTTTGAGAAAATAGACAAGCTGTAGGCTAAGTACGATCTATAAAAGTACTTGGCGTTATAGTAAGACATATACAATAAGCCACAGAAATCTAACGTAGTGATTTTAACTTTTTTTACGTCCTTTCAAGCTCAATTAGCCATCATTTCCTGAGGAGGGAGTCATTGTATTACAGTTTCTCAGCTTAGCCATATGACGAAAAATAAGAAAACTTTGTCATTTATACTGCAGTATGTGTTGTTGTGCTTGTGGGATGTTCACCAGCGCTAGCTAATCTAAAGTGATTAGTTTATGTAAATTTTATGCACTTGTGTTCACTAAGCAAACACTGACACGTTACACACACGTTACACACACGTTACACTACACGTTACACCTACTTTACATAATAATCTATAGTAAATATATAGAAATATGACACGTTACACACGTTACACCCATTTTTTTTATAAATAAATATATATATATATATATTTTTTTAAAAACAATGGGTGTAACGTGTGTAACGTGTTATATCTCTATATGTTTTACTACAAATTATTATGTAACGTGTGTTGTAACTTGTGGTGTAACGTGTGTGTAACGTGTCTATATTCAGTACGTAAAAATAGATTAAGATTTTGGGCATGTGCGACCAGATTTGCTTGAACTCATTACACATAATCCCAAAATCATGGGAGATGGAAGTTTGCAATAAATTCTAGTGCAAGTTTACGATCGGTAAGTCCGTTTATCAAGATAAATAAAAAGCTTGAATTGGGTTTAAAATTTAGTGAGTATGTCAATCTCACGCAACAATTCAGCTAAAAGTAGGAAAATCATTGAAGTTTTTCCAAAATAGGTCTGAACGAGGCGTTGTCTGTTATAAAATTCTTGAACTTAAAGGAAATGTTCTGTTTGAGAGTAAAAATATACTCATGATTGTCAGCCATGGGGAAAAATTGTCTGAAATTTTTTTTATTATTTTATAATCTTCTTCCCATGTATATATTCGTCAATCAATCGTCCTTTCGAAACAAAAAATAGCTATAGTTCTGAACTTCACCTATATTTTTTTTACATGAAGTACTCAAATATAGAAAACCGCTGAGAAAAAAATATCATACACGCGTAAAAATCATCACGTTGTCGCAGGTTGTCAACAACTTGTTCGCGATTGTTCAGAACAGGTTGCAGCAATGTTGTGCTGCACCCTGTCAACAAGGCTTGTTAACAATATTGTTCACGCTTGTTCGAACAATGTTGTTGACGCCTGATGAACGAACAAGGCCTGAACAACGTTGTTGGAACAACTGAGATCAACCTGATATCAATGATGTTTTATATTGTCAACAACTGCGAACAGTCTTGTTTTATCAATACGTAAACAGCCTGATATCAATCGTTTTCGACGTTGTTATTCGTGGCCATTTTCCAGGGGGGGAGAGAAATTTAAAGGCACAGTTCAGCCTTTTGAATGATGGTTTTTAAGGCGCATTACAAGCCCTTTTAAGAGGCAGTCTCTGTAAAAGCGGTCCACTGCATTTCGGATCAGAAAATAGTTTTCTCCCAAACTTTTACCCTGAAATAGCACATACCAATGAGTTATGAAACTGACTTTGGTTTTTCAATTTTCATAAAAATAATTTTTTTACAGCGCTTTAGTTCCAGGCGACCGTGTTCGCTGAATTTGCACTTTTCGTTGACTGAAAATTACACACATTCAAGACATTACAGATCACGGAATATAGAACTTTTCACCGAGATCTTTTTTCTCAGTCTTGTTCATTCATTCAAGTGCAAAATTCAAGCGAAATTTTGAATGTCGGGAGAAATGCGGGGGGAGAAAAAAATACGCAATGATACTCGTTTTACGGCCTTCTAAAAATCACGACAAACTGACCCTCAGAAAATAGCTTTGATCTCATAAGTCCAGCACTAAAAACCTAAAGCTTCTATTCCAATCTACTGATCAAAGGATGTATAAAAAGGATTGATAAAAACATTTTGCGCTTTTTATTTAGATTCTGCACAACAACCTCGAACTTTCTGTGTTTTTAATGCAAATTACATTAGTTAGGCGGTAATTTAATTAAATATAAACTGTAATGAAAGACCGTTATTTGCTTCAACTTTTATTGCATTCGGATTTAAGCATTACATTTTTCTTATTTTCGAATTTAAAGTTCAAGAAATTTACTACTAAATGGTGCCGGACGGCTTTGCTAGCTGAAGTGTTTTATTGTTTATGCAAAATACTTGACTGTTTATTATGCAAGCTTAATATTTTACCAAAATAGAATTTCAAAACAGCAATTCCGTTTTTTTACTCAGTTCGAGTTCGGAACTTCGGATAAAATCTTGTTAGAAGCATATACAAATTTATTATATACGAAAGGTCTGGATATGAGGTACTCTGCAATCAAAAACAAAATGGCGGCTGAAACTGAATTTCCGACATTTCGCGAACGAGAAAATGGCAAGTTGTTCGCTTTTTATAGCCTTTACAGGATTAAAAACACAACGAAAAAAACTCCCACAAATTGTTTACAGGTTAGAAAATGAATTTTTAAAATTTAGAATGGTTAAAAATATATGTTTTTGAAAAAATACTCCGGACAAAAGAGCGAAGATAAAAACATAAAAATTAATAGAAAAATATTGAAAATATCCGGAAAGCAAAGTCTGTGAATTCAGACCTTGTGTATATAATAAAACTCACTCTTGTCGAATATGAGCGATAGCCGATTCGGCGCTACGCGCCTCATCGGCTATCAGCTCATATTCGACTCGAGTTCGTAGAATAACTGTTAAATATCCGATATTCTTATGTCACTTAATTGACTTAAACGTAGGAAAAATAACCAAAACATGACATGTGCATATACCACGACGAAATCGACCGATGTTACTGAATGTGACTTTATATTTTAAGGCTTATTATAATTTTTAAAACATTTTGCACTTTTATTTTAATTTAATATATTCTACATAGCAACCTCGAACTTGCTTTTTGTTAATTTATAAAGCCTGACGTGACACATTAAGACATAAAAATAATTAGAACTATAATCTAGTATTTACCTGAATTGACGGGCGACTTCTAGAATGTCATTATTAATTATACTTTCGGAATTTTTTTAGCGTATAAGACCTATTGCCCCTATGGCCATGATGAAAAATCAAGGGTGGGTAGTAGAGAAGTAGTTGTCAGTGCCGTCGCGAGGAACTCGCTTCAGGGGGTGTTTGGTTAAATCTACCTGAAAGTATCAAAATTTCGAATTTTACCTGAAAATTATTTTTGTTACCTGAATATTTTTTTTGGTGACCCCCCCCCGCCTCGCCAAAAAATTTTCGGTCAGTGTACCATTTTAGCAGTAAAAAATTTTTTCCGGACATATCAAAATTTATCGCGTCATAAAAAAATTTTTCCGGACATCACAAATTTTCTCCGTTTATCTAAAAAAATTTTCGAAAATTCCGAAAATTTCTAGCATATTCTAAAATTTTTGTAAATATTCCTCATTTTTTTCCAAATTCACAGTCATTTTTGTAAATTAACTTTCTCTTGT